CCAAGAATCCTCTACCCAGCAAAGCTGTCAATCAAATATGATGATATAATCAAAACATTCCAGGATAAACAGAAGCTAAGGGATTTTGCCAAAGCCAACCCTGCAATGAAAAACATCCTAAAGGATTTCCTGTGGACTGAGAACCAACAAGAACAGGCAACAACCAGAGATTGACATACGTGGCAGCATCACCCAGAACTCAAATTGACAAATGGAAGCGTCAAGAACAGAATAAAATGATTAAGAACAGAGGATCTGTGAGGTCAGTCTATGATCAAAACAATTAGAATGTGAAAGAAGGTAAACACAGAGGAACAGAGATCCCAGTCAGTGGTGAGAAGGTCAGGTAGATTACTGGATAAAATAGACTTTCTTAAATGGAGGGAAGAGTTAATGGAATATAAGGTAATTACAATGGTGAGGTTGGGGAGGGCAATTCAAGAAGGGGGAGGAGGTGGAAGAACAAGATAGATAGGGGAACATTGGGACAGATTTACATGGCCTAAGTGGAACATAGGTAAATAGAGATGCATGTTCAACTTTGGAACAACAGGGCTCTGTGAAACAGAGATCTAGGTATAGTTTGATGAGGGGAAATAATACCAAGATGCTTGACTGTCTTGTGAATATTTGTTTCTCTTGCCTACTATTGTAAAATAGACACTTGAGTGGGATAGAAAGGAATGTTGGAAACATGATTACAGAAAACGTATAAGCCCATCTTCAGCCTATAACTGATTGGAATACCTAAAAGGGGTTCTAGAACTTGCCCAGTGAAATAGGCCTCTTGCAGAGCCTTTGCAGAGTATAGGATCTTAGGTGGAATCCTGAGTCCCATCCTGAACCTTCTGAGGTGGGACATTCCCACTAGCAAGGACAAGCAGACCAGCCTGGAACAGCTAGAGCAACAGAAGATACATCTGCAAAGAAAGCTCATCAGGAAAAACCCAAAACAAAAATGTCAGCATGACTGGCTACTACAAGAATAAGCAAGCTGTTTGCCCGGAAGCCAGCAAGAGAAGCAATCAAGTTCCTTAAGGACAATCTCCCTCTAAGAATGAAACTCAAAGGAAACACATGAGCAGGCATGTAAGCTTACTAGCAACCACATTGGTCTACTGGTGAGTGGAAGACGGGGAAAGCCAGCAATGAAGAAATGGGCTGAGTTCAACCATGGTCCATTGACTCCTGTTGACCTGGAGATGAGAGGGAGAAGAAGAAGGGCTAGTTGGTCCAAACTGCAGTGAGACCTGGGGACACCTGAGCTCATGGACAAGGACATAGCCACAGAGGGCTAGAGCTGAGAGTGAAGCATCCAGCTGATATGAAGTGAGGAGAGATGCACAAGAACACCCAAACTTGCAGACAGTACCAGTTTGACCCAGCCTTGATGGCTTGATAATCCGAACTTGACTAGAGGAAGTTTAAAAAAAAAAATTATTTATTTTTTTTGATAAAGGAAACAAGGACAAATTGCTACAGTTTGATGAACCTGACCTATACTCATGGATGTAGTAACTCTAAATACCAACAGAGAGGGAAGGAGTCTTCACATCAAGTATCAGTGTTATCCCCTCTGAACACAGGGCAGATAGGGACGTGCAACTTAACCTAAAATGAAGGGACAATAAAGGCACGAAATGACTGGCTTACAAGATTTCAAGAGGAAGTTTAGTTTCAGAGGGTGTGAGGGAAGATAGTGTCCCCACTGAATAGTTTCCATCTTGTCTAGATGGGTCTGGTGAAAAGAGATGGGGATAAGATTCCTGTCATTAAATAGTGAGTAACTGTTATCATGACTAATTGCAACTGTCATAATTGTAAAGGTAGAAGTTTTGTAACAAAAACAGGGGAGTGGTTAATCTTACAGTCCAGAAACAGAGGACCCTAGCATCATCAAAGGAGAAGAGCACAAGCAGAAAGTGGAACCTTATCCAGAGAAACAGCGACACCAGAGACAGAGGCAGAGATAGGGCCATGGAGATGGGGAGTGGCTAAGGACTCTAGATTCATGGAAAGAGAGGGACTAAGAGCTGGTGGCCAGGGGGCAGACTTGCAAAATATGCCCTTTCGAAGTGTAAATTATGATACATTCCTGAGTGTTTTTTTGTTTTTATAAAAAGATCTAAAGTGAGTAGAGAGAAATACTGTTAACTGATGGTACATGGAGGGGATTATAATCATCGTAATCTATTGAATGTAAAATTGATGATCTGCCCTGTAAACTTTCACTCAGTCCACAATAATAATAATAAAAAAAAACCATAAAAAAAATGCCATTGAGTTAACTGTGCCTCATAGCGATTCCATGCAAAAAAGAATGAAACACTTCCCAGGCATGTATTATCAGCCTCACAATTGTTGTTATGCTTGAGCCCATTGCTGCTGTGACTATCCCAGCCCAGTCCATTGGAGGTCTTCCTCTTTTTTTGCAGATGCTCCATGTTACCAAACATAATGTTCTTCTCCAGGGACTGGTCCCTCCTGATCATGTATCCAAAGTATGAAAGACAAAGTCATGCCATCCTTGCTTCTAAGTAGCAGTCTGGCTATACTTTCTGTAACACCATTTTGTTTATTTTTATGGGGGTCCGCGGTACTGTTAGCACTCTGTTCAAACACCATAACTCTAAAGTATCAGTTCTTCTACTGTCTTCCTTACCTCATGTCCAGCTTTCACATGCTTATGAGCCTATTGAAAATAGCATAGATTGGATCAGGTGTACTTAAGTCGTCAAACTGTTATCTTTGCTGTTGAACATTGTAAAGAGGTGTTGTGCAGCAGATTTACCTAATGCAGTGCTTTGTTTGATTTCTTGATTGCTGCTTCCATGAGTGTTGATTGTATATCAAAGCAAAATGAAATCTTTGACAACTTCAATCTTTTCTCCATTTATCATGATTTTACCTATTGGTCTAGTAGTCAAGATTTTGTTCACTTTATATTAAGGTACAATCTATGTTGAAAGATGTTGTCTTTGATCTTCATCAGTATTTTAAATCCTTTTCACTTTCAGCAAGCAAGGTTGTGTCATCTGCATATGTTTTTAATGAGTCTTCCTCCAATCCTGATGCTACACTCTTCTTCATATAATCTAATTTATCAAATTATTTGCTCAGCATACAGACTGAATGAGTAGGGTAAAAGAATACAGCCCTGACACACACCTTTCCTGATTTTAAAACATTCTGCTTGTTCTGTTCGAACCACTGTCCCTTGGTTTATGTATAGGTTCCTCAGGGGCATAATTAAGTGTTCTGGAATACCCATTCTTCACAATGTTATCCACAGTTTATCACGATCTATAGAATTGGCACAGTCAATAAAGTACAAGTAACATCTTTATGGTGTTCTCTGCTCTCAGTCAAGATTCATCTGATGTCATCTTTGATATCCCTCGTTCCATGTCCTCTTCTGAATCCAGTTTAAGTTGTGGCATTTCCCTGTCAATGTATTGTTCTAGTTGTGTTTTAATTATCTTCAGCAAAATTTTACTTGCATATGGTATTAATGATACTGCTAGATGATTTCCACATTCCATTTCATCAGTGCTCTTTGCAGTGGACACAAATGCCTATCTCTTCAATCAGTTGGCCAGGTAGCTTTCTTCCAAGTTTCTTGGCTTAGATGAGTAGCACCTCCAGTATTGCAATCGTTTATTGAAAGATTTCAGTTTGTTTTCTGTCACTTCACAAAGCCTTGTTTATTGTCTATGCCTTCTGCGTATAAAGACATAGAAGTGTACTCAGTGAAAATATTGACTTTAATTTACTGTTGATGTTATTAAGTGTTGTCGAATTGGTTCCAACTTATAATGATCTTATATAGGGTTTCCTTTCTACATCACAGATTTCCAACTGCCCAATGTTTGGTTACCAGTCCAATACTTATCCTACAGAACCACATCAGGACTCAACTAGACTTTTCTATATTGTTTATCACATTGTAGTTGAAGCTTTATCTATGCTTTTGTATTATTGAAACTTTTGCTTAAATATTAAAGTATTTTATATCCAATTTTTAAAAATTATATAATAAATACAAGGGCATCTTAACTAGTTAAAATTTGCAATTGATATCTTATTTGTGAGTTCCTAAATCAGCTTTGAGATTGTTTATTTTTAATTATTGCTCATTTTCACTCAAGCAATTGTGTTTGTTTATTTGTGTATTAGGCTTTGGAAATATCTCACCACGCACAGAAGGGGGAAAAATATTCTGCATCATCTATGCCTTACTGGGAATTCCCCTCTTTGGTTTTTTGTTGGCTGGAGTCGGCGATCAACTGGGGACCATATTTGGAAAAGGAATTGCAAAAGTAGAAGACACATTTATTGTGAGTATGATAGACTTTTAATTATATATGTTGATCATTTCATTTTTAGAAATACTGTAACTTTTATTTCACCCTAGACTAGTCATTCATTCTTGATTTCATAACAATTTGTATGTACTTTTAGCAGGATGTCACTCACTGTTTATAATTGTTTTTAAACTTATCTCAATAAATATGTACATGATTTAGAAAACTCCATGAAAATATTGAAGAAATCATATGGAAATCCTACAATCCTGGTTCAAACTCCAGCTATGTTGTTTGTTAGTTAGTTCTTCTTATGAACTGTTTTGCCTTCAATGCTCCCTTTTTTCTCTTATAAAATATAAATAATAATACTGATATTGAGGAATTACTCTAAGTGCTAGAGACAGTATAAATTAAAGTTTAACATAACTAGTAGAGGACTGATGAAATTTTATTGTTTAGAAAATTGATTTGTTACTCTGTTTATTGTTTGTGTCTTTGTAAATGTATGTAGCCCTTTGGGAAAGGATATAATAATGTAACATAATATAACATAACAGAATAATATATGGAAATCACAATATAGGTGAGCATATAACTCAATTCTGTAAGGGAAATTACAGATATTAATCTCTGACGGTGTCATTCAGTAGAACCAAAAATTGTATACATGAGGATGTTCATGGTTATATTATATCCAATAGCAGAAATAAATGGAAAAAATGCTTTTATTATTATTTTAAATAAGTGAAAGAAAAAATATTACTACAATGATTATATGTTTGTGTTGTTAAGAAACTTATAGAGAAAAATGATTGTGTTAGAGGGTGGAATTATAAATGACTTGCTATACCTATAACTAAGGAGCTCTGGTAGTGTAGTGGTTACGAATCGGGCTGTGAACCTCAGGGTCAGCAGTTCAAAACTACCAGCTGTTCCGCGGGAGAAAGATGAGGCGTTCTGCTCCCGTAAAGATTTACAGCCTCGGAAACGCTGTACAGGGTCACTATGAGTCGGAACCGACTCCATGGCACATAACAACAACAACAACATACCTATAACTACTGTTACAAGTATTGCTGTTTTTTGTCAAGTGCTGCTGAGTTGGTTCTGACTTGTAGAACCCTGTTTAGGATTCCCGAGGAGCGGCTGGTGAGTTTGAACCACCAACCTTGTGGTTCAAGCTGAACTTGCAGTCCAGTGCTTTTATTTATTGTTCATTGTTTTATTTTTTTCACAAAAAGGCAACAAAATATTTTACATTTAACTCTCCCAGTAAAATAGGATTATCGAATATTGTTTCACTAATTTAAAGACCTGTTTTTAACATTAATTGTGTTTCAGATTTCAGAAAAAAATTAGTTCTCAAATATTTTTACTATATAGAGTAACATGTTGTTTTTGTTGTTGTTAAGTGCCTTTAAGTTGGTTTCGACCCATAGGGACCCTGTATAGGTTTTGTAAGACTCTAAACCTTTGTGGGAGCGGAAAACCTCATCTTCTGTGGAGCAACTGGTTAGCTCAAACTGATAACCCTGTGGTTCTCAGTCAGGTGTGTATCCTACAGAGCCACCCCACTCCCCATTTATAGTTATATAAAGATTTACACCCTCGGAAACCCTGTACAGGGTCGCTATGGGTCGGAACCGACTCGATGGCACTTAACAACAACAACAACAGGCATGTAAGAGGTCAGTTTGTGTGTTGTTTTGCTACTATGCTTGCCTTATATTAATACTAAAACTTGCTTGTATTTATAGTCATTGAAAGAGCCAGCTAGTGACATGAACTTGGAAACTCTGAATTTTTCATTAATTCATTCAACACACTTTGAGTGCTTACTGTGTGTGGGGTGTACTTCTCATTTTGCACATACATCAGCACACAACCTAGATTAACTCCATCTTCTTGAGATTACATTCCAGGGACCATGAGTCAGCTATTGGTACTAAGCACTATTCTATGAGCTTAACAAAGATGTGCTCATTTAACTCTCATATGTTATATGGTCAGTGGACTAGAGTTCCTTATTTTTGCTTTCCAATCTGTTTCCATAGGCCTTTATCTTTAAAAAAATACTGAAGACCTAAAATTAGTGACTTAATATGCTTTTCTCAATAGATAGGATAGATCCCATCAGATATTAAAACATCTGGTCACCAACCCTATGTTGTTGTTGTTAGGTGCCATTGAGTCGGCACCGACTCATAGCGACCTTATGCACAGCAGAACGAAACAATGTCCGATCCTGGGCCAACCTCATTACTGTTGCCACACTTGAGTCCACTGATGCTGTCACCTGGCCAATCCATCTCGTTGGGGGGGTCTTCCTCTTTTTCTCTGACCCTCCATCTTACCAAACATGATATCCTTCTCCAGCGATTGTTCTTTCCTGACAACATGTCCAAAGTATGAGAGACGAAGTTTGGCCATCTTGGCCTCTAAGGAACACTCTGGCTGCACTTCATCCAAAACAGATCTATTGGTTCTTTTGGCAGTCCATGGCACTTGTAGTATTCTCCTCCAACACCATAATTCAAAGACACCAACCCTATAGGACAGTTCTATTCTGTCATATAGGGTCACTCTGAGTCAGAGTCACCTCAGTGGCATACAACCACAACAACCACAAATAAAATGGTTGTCACTGAGTTAATTCCAACTCTTGGTGACCTCGTTTGTATCACAGTAGAACTGTGCACCATAGGGTTTTCAGCAGCAGGTTTTTCAGAAATAGATTCACTAGGCCTTTCTTTTGAGTTGCCTTTGGGTAAACTTGAGCCTCTAACCTTTTGGTTAGCAGCCAAACACATTATCCATCTGTACCACCCTGGGACTCCTAGCCTCGGAGAAAGAGTTGATAATACACTGCAATATATACACACTTCAGTAAACACTTTACACCATGTAGAATCCTGATTAGTAAAGGAGGTGATGAGAATATACGAGTAATTTGATAAGAGCTGATGTTCAGGGGTTTTAAAGACATATCATTGCCTATTAGCATGCAAGTTCATTTGTTGTGCCATTTAAGGCCAGAAGACAGAAAGGCAGTCAATATATTTGGCTCATATGGGACCTGCACTGGGCCACAGATCAGTTTGAACTGCAAGGTTGGCAGTTCAAACACACCAACCACTCCTTGGAACCCTGTACAGGGTCACTATGAGTCGGATCTGACTCACTGGCACTTAACAACAAAATGGGGATCAAACTGCAGGTAGAAATTCTTATGCTGGTATTGTACTTGCATCATTCAAAGTAATATGAAAAAGTGATAGGAGGGATAGGAAAAAGCTACCATGAAATTTATCATTCTATCAATTATCAGTAGTAAATATTTAGTCCTTGGTTTAATTGTGTCTATTTAGAAATATTTCAACATTGTGTGCCTATATAATAGAAATCTTTTTCGAAAGCTATTTAGGGAAACATACGTAAGTCTGAAAATGTAGTGTCAGAGTAAATTTAATTTACTTTTGAAAGTGTTTTACATGTTGTAAGACAGACTGTGTAGGAGTACTGATGTGGCACTGTGGGATAAGCACTAGACTGCTTACCACAAGGTCGGTGGTTCAAACCCACCAGCTGCTCCCTGAAAACCCTATGCAGGGTCTCTATGAGGCAGAACTGACTCAACGGCACTTAACAACAACAATAAAGGCTGTGTAAGATTAGAGTTGCATCATTATTAGTATGCATTGTATTTGAATAACTTACATTATACCCAATATTTTGTCAGTAAAGATACTTAAAAAGTAAGTCTAAATATAAATGAACTCATTTGCTAATTGACTGGTTATGGTAGATGTATAGGTTAGCTTTGCAGGCACACCAACAATGAATCTCTTTCTCTCTAATGTCTAGAAGTGGAATGTTAGTCAGACCAAGATTCGCATCATCTCAACAATTATATTTATACTGTTTGGCTGCGTACTCTTTGTTGCTCTGCCCGCGATCATATTCAAGCACATAGAAGGCTGGAGTGCCCTGGATGCCATTTATTTTGTGGTCATTACTTTAACAACCATTGGATTTGGTGACTACGTTGCAGGTAAGGTTTTGCAGGCACGGGCACTACCCTCCTGCCCTTTGTTCTATAGATAGACTTTTTGTTTGGGTTTGTAGCACCGCATCATGGCAGAGACCAAAACAATAGCCCTATGACAGTGATGGTAGCACAGGGTGGAGACACCACTTAATTTTGTAGTCTAAGGAAAGAAATTTAAATGGCTCTTTGTTTCGTATTTTTGCTTTCCCACTGTAATTTTAAAAACTAAATATCTGCTTCTTGCCTTCCCTGTCCCTACCACACTCACACAGAATGGCGCAAGAATTCAGGTGTAACTTGTCTTTGTTCTTTCTGCTTGGTGGTGGTGGTTACGTGCCGTGGAGTCAGTTCCGGCTCATAGTGACCTAGTACAGGGTTTCCGAGGCTGTAAATCTTTATGGGAGCGAAAGCCTCATCTTTCACCTGCAGAACAGCTGGTAGTTTTGAACTGCTGACCCTGAGGTTAGCAGCCTAATTTGTAACCACTACGCTACCAGAGCCGCTTTCGAAATTTCTGCTTAGGCCCTTCCATACTTTAGTTTTAAAATCAGCTGCAGGCTTGGCTGATTAAAACCTTCTTTGGTTGGTAGCATTTACCTCATTAAATTTTAAATTCTCAGGGCAGTATTTTTTACAAACATGTCTATATTTGACTAAAGCCCCCCCCCCCTTTTTTTTTTTTTTTTGCTTTTTTTCCCCCTACAAATGCTATTTCAGTTGCATTTTGCTTTATTGTTTTATCTTCTAACTATTAAGTCCTTCTCTTGATAAGAGTTTCATAGTGTGAGCACTCTTTTCACAGGTGTATGAGCTGATTTCAAAGTTTGTGGAAAAATTGTATTATCTTTTCATTCAATTCTTAACGTAGCTTTTTGAAGCCCCTTCGTCTAATATCCAACTGTTATTATTAGTGCACAAGTATGCCCAGTTTTATTGTGCTTTGTAGATACTACATTTTTTTTTACAAATTGAAGATTTGTAGCAACCCTGCATGGAGCAAGTTTATTAGTACTATTTTCTAACAATATGCGTTCCCTTTGGGTTTCTGCATCACACTTTGGTAATTCTCTCAATATTTTAAACTTTTTCATATTGCAAACTTTAATAGGTAATGGTATAGCATAAGTATAATTTTTATATGCACCAGAAAACCAAGCAATTTATGTGACATCTTTTATTGGAATATTTGCTTTATTGTGGTGGTCTGGAACAAAACCCAACTGTCTCTGAGGTATTCCTGTGACTGTAATTTTAAATAAATTGTTCTACGTATGATGCAGGTAAGTACAGTATTGCTCTATCATGGACAATTTTTGTAGCTCCAGAAAATCTGCATCACTCTTTAAAAAAAACGTTTTTTTCAAGTATTAGGAAAACATGCTAAACAAAGTAGTTGCTATTTGCTATCGAGTCAATTCCAACTGATGCAACCCCATGCATTGAATTGTAGAACAGCTCCATAGGGTGTTTTGGTTGTAATCTTAATGGAAGCAAATTGTTAGGCTTTCGTTTTTCTATAATACCTCCAGGTGGCTTCAAACATCCAACCTTTAGGTCAGTAATCAAGCACAAACCATTTGTGGCACTAAGGCATTAAACTCCTCAGAATAAAGTTGCCAGCCTAATTTGTATGGTGTTATTATCATTTTATACTTTCTGAATGTTTACAATTCTTCCTTGACCCAATTTTCTGACACATATTTTCAGAAAGATAAATATGATGTATTAGTTGCTTAAGACCTCAGAAATTACTGATAATTCATCTCTTAATATTAAGTTATTCATTCCATTTTAACTTGGCAAGCCCTCATATATTCCATCCTTGAGTATGAGGATGTGTTCATAAGCAAAGTTTTGCTTTTGGTAAAAAGTACTATGTGTGTGTATGTGTGTTGGATTGGAGGACGGACGATATGTGTTGGATTGGAGGACTGGCTGGAGATATTTTAATTTTATAGTAGCACAATGTGGAGAGAGAAACCTCAGACATTTGTAACTACCATTTAAAGAAAACAAGCTTTGGTCCCCAAATACTCATTTTCTACCTCTCATTTAATTTATATAATCGGCATTAAGTAGAAGTGATAAGTGTGTTACTATAGAAGAAAGTACGATGAGAAAAGTGTACTTGTGATACTTTGGTCTTAGATTGACTTCTTGGTGTTAAGTGCTGTAGAGTCAGCTCCAGCTTGCATTGCAGGCCATTGACCACTGCCCCATCCTGCCCCATCCTCACAATTATTGTTTGAGTTCATTGTTGTTACCACTACATCAGTCCATCTCAATGAGCTTCGTCTTCTATTATGCTGACTCTCTGCATTGCCAAGCATGATGTCTTTCCCCAGAAACTACTTTGCCACTTTATAGATGTAATTAACAAGATAGTGAAACGACTTTGTGGAATGTATAGGTCTTAAATGATAAGTCTTATGTTTTCAAAGCAGCAGCCTCATATTGAATGTATTATTTTCAACAGTTGACAGAATGTCAGCTCAGTATGTCATCACCCTCCTGGTCTGAGGCTATCTAAATAAATAAACATTTCAAATAAAAAAGTGGGTGGAATCCTGAAATAATATGGTATTTTTAACCATAGTATAAACTGGCTTAGGAAAAAAAGAACAAAAATTTTTCCTTCATGGTTTTGTAGAACATGAAAAACATGTTGTTTTTGTGTGTTTTTTCAAATTTACCTTAAAAAAACAAAACCAAAAACTTAGAGATCTGATACTGATTAGGTTGTATGAATCTATCAGTCCTAGCCTGCTCCATTAGAGTGGTGCAGAGAACACATTGTCTGCTTACTAGAGGGATGCTGGATCAGAGTCAGGACCCAGCCTTGTAGGGGAATACTAGATGAACTTGTGTAACATTAAACCAACTTACCATGGAATAGACTCCAAATCCTGGTGACCCCGTGTCTGTTCAAGCAGAACTGCTCTCCATAAGGTTTTCAAGGTGGATTATTTGAAAGCATTTCCTTTTTTCTGAACTACCTCTGGGTAAACTCAAGCCTCCAAATTTCCAATTACCAACCAAGCTTATTAGCCATTTGTACTACTCGGGGACTTCTTGTATGACATTAAGTGTAGTTTAATAAACAACTTTGTAGTATTAAAATTTTATTATATTGTACTCCTCTTTAAATCCCCTACTTTAATTTTATTTTTACTTTAGAGAGCAAATAACAAAGAATGAGAAAAATGTTCCTTGATAATAATTCACCGAGGAATTTGATATGAATAAAGTACTAGTTCTGAGAACAGGAGGCACATTAACAGGAGTTTTGTTAACTCTTCTCTGTCTTCTCAGTTGGTGTATTTTAGTCTTCCATAAAACTTCACAACCCTCTTCCTAGTGCTGAAGTCTTAAAGTATCAGGTGTCTTTTGGAGAGAGAATGTGACCAAGGTGGCAGATGTAGCAAAGCCTGGCGGTAGGAAATGTATGCCCTTTGCAAAGTTCTTTGGAAAAGTAGAAATTTCAAAGGATCTTGGAAAATAATTACCTCGTAAAGTTCAGTAGGGAACACAAATCAGCCTTTGTACCTTGTGGCTCTGCATTTTGATGGGTCATCATGTTCATGACACAATATATTAGGGCATCATTAACTTCCACTTCAGAAATAATGTCAATTTAGGTTTGTGTGCACAGAGACGTCCTTCCTGCTGGTAAGGTTCAATCGAAAACATGTCAGAGACCACTGCCCCAGACAACTGAGCATGGTGTTCAGGTTTCTCTATGTATGTGACTCAGCATACATATTTAGTCTGCATTTCCTCATTTTTTCCCTCAGGATGATATCTCTGTACACTATTGTAGCTTTATGTTTATATTTATGCAAGGGATACATTTTAGTGACTGATTGGTTACCTTAGTGACTGTTAACAGGTCTTCCCCTCTGCTTTTTCCCCTGATAACCCATTTTGTCCTTTCACTAGTCCTCAATGTTCTAGGATTAAAAAGGACCAGAGAGGTCACAGACTCTGGTTCACCACATTTAGCATGTGAATAGACAGGCCAGGCCGCTTAGCTAAGAGTAGTATTTACAGAATAGGGTCTTCCTTAAGAGGTGGACAGACAGGAAATTATTTGACAAATTATCATTTACCTAATGTTTGTTTTTGTTGCTGTTAAGTGCCTGTGAGTTCACTCTGACTCAAACCCCTCCGCCCCCCATAAAATTTACAAGGAGTGGCTGGTGGGTTTGAACCGCCGACTTTGTGGTTTGCAGTCCATTGCTTATCCTACAGTGCCACACCCGGACCCCACTGTTTATCAGTGACTGTAAACAAGGCTAGGGGTAGACTGTGGAACAGACCATTAATTACTCATATGCAAATTGAAACTGAAGCTGAAGAAAATGAAAACAAGTCCACAAGAACCAAAATATGAACTTGAATATATCCCACCTGAATTTGGGGTTCATCTGAAACACAGATTTAAGTAATTAAACACTAAAGACCAAAGACCAGAAGAGTTGTAGGATGACATCAAGAACATCATACATGGAGAAAGCAAATATTCATTAAGAAGACAAGAAAGAAGGAAAAGGTCAAAATGGATGTCGGAAGAGACACTGAAACTTGCTCTCCAG